ACACACACACACACACACACACACACACACACACACACACACACACACACACACACACACACACACACATATATATATATATATATATACAAATATACATATCTGTAATTAATTTTATTTTTATGGCATGTCATCTCATTCAAGAATATATTTAAAGACGTCGTTACCATTCTCATTGCTGTCATTATCATCCTCAACAACAACAACAACAACACAATCATCATCAGATTCAAAACTCTTATCGTCCAATTCCGTTGTTCGCGCGAACGAGCGAACGAACGAACGAACGAATGACGAACGAACGAACGAACGAGCAAAAAACATCAAAGGGATGAAAAAGCATAATACTCGCAAAACACTTGTCGCATGCAAGTGTAAGAAAAACCCCAAAACCCTTATATTAATAGTAGTAGCACAAACCCAAACACGCGCGCACACACGCGCACACACACATACATACATACACATACATTATATACAAACACACTTAAGGAACTTGAATTATGTAACGATCAACATTCTTGCTATCATATATTATATGGAGTCTTCTATAGTTATGACGTCATCGATTAAATACTTTTTGAGTATTTTTTTCCTTGATCACGTGTAGCTTTTGATGATGACGACGATGATGATGATGATGAAGATGATGATGATAAAGAAGATGATGAAGATGATGATGAAGAAGATGATGAAGATGATGATGATGATGATGATGATGAAGATGATAATAAAGGTGATGATGAAGATGATGATGATGTGAGAATGAGGATGAAGATGATGGGTAACTTTACTCACCACTATAATTCTTATCGTCATCATCATCATTTATTATTATTATTATTTATTATTATTATTATATTATTATCTTATTGCTTAAAATTATTTTGACTTTCAATTATACCAATGATCACTAACACAACAAAAAAAATTATTTCACTTTGTAATAACGGATGCAAAGCATAGGCTATACTATTATCATTAGTCAATCTTTTAATGTTAGAATTTGAAAAACAAGTTACACACACACACACGCACAGATACCCTCCTACAAGCACACACATACACATACACTCCTACAAAGACACACACATACACACACACATACACACACACACACACAAACGCATCAACAATATTGACGATAACACAATTAAAGACATCCTAATCTAAATCATCTACACGCATTCAAACTCGAGCCCACAAACAAACACACCTCACAAACGGTTTCAAACTCGACACACACACACACAAACACAAATACACACACACAAACAAACACACACACACATTCACACAAATATTATCTTGATAATAGCGCCACTGAATATATCGTAATATCCTTGGAAAGCATCTAAAATCCCAGTAAGGTATTCATCCCGACTTATCTTTCCATCTTTATTTCTATCCAGCCTCTTTTCAAAATTCTATGAAAAAATAATTTTTAAAAAGAAAATTGTTGTATTTTTGAAGAAAAAAGTTTAAATAAATAACGACAAACTTTGATAATAAATTTTGGTATTTTTTTGTAAAGTTGAATTTTGAAAATCTTCAACCAGACAGCCGGTCAACCAACAAACAAGCAACCAATCAACTAAGCATCCAGCAAACAAACTAACCATCCAACCAATCAACCTATTAATCGATCAAACAACCAACCAGTCATCTAACCAACCAATCAACCAACCAACCAACCTACTAACCAACCAACCAACTAACCAACCAACCAACCAACCAACTAACCAACCAACTAATCAACCAGCCATCTAACCAACCGGCCAGTCAACCAACCAACAAACAAACTAGCCAACGAATCACCTTTCTTCTCTCCAGGAAATTATCCAGCGTCCAATTGTTATTGATCTCAACGAACATGGAATCAACTTCGTTTCTCGTTAAATACCCGTTCCGATCTTTATCGTAAGAATCAAACAGTTTATTCAACTGACCTGTGAATTGGCGGATCGCGTTTGCACCCATGGCTGACTTAAAAAATGAATGAATGAATGAATAAGTGAATAAATGAATGAATGAATGAATGAATTATTTAATCAATTAATGAATTAATTAAATAATTGAAATTGTTAGTAATAAAATAATAACATTGTTAATACGTACTTGAAGTTTATAGAAGTAATGAATTCCCACAACAGCTACCCTCGAAAGAAATTCTTATAAACTTATATATGCCGCTCAACATACACAT